AGGGTCCATTCACAGTAGATTCATCAGCATACATGACATACAAAGCAGACCTAATCTGATCCATGTCCATCTCAAAGACAGGCACACGACGACGCACCAGGCTGTGCCAGTCGGGGGGGTCCGCTGTGGGGCCGAAGCGGAGACGGAAGAGGTCGTCGGGGTGGAGCAGCGTATGGCGGTATGACCGGGATGGTCACAGACAGTGCCGCGGCGGGGGCCGGACTGAAGCTGGTACTGGCAAGTGACCACAATAGAGCCGCCACCCAACACCGAGCTGCGCCCCCCACCACCACCAGAGCTGCCAGTCCACCACGGCAGCGGGGGCGCCTACGTCGACTGCTGCTGCTGATGCAATGGCTGCTGCTGCTGCTGATGAGGCTGTTGCTCCCGGGCACCAGCCCCGGTCCCCTTGTCTGCACCACCGTCCCGTCCACCGCCGCCGCCACCTTCACCACCCCCGCCACCCCTCCTGCCGCCACGCCCCCCCCGGGCCCGGCGTCCTCTACCCTGACGTGACTGCGCTGAGGCCGCCATAGCGGTCTCGGCAGCAGGGGCCGTCTCAGCAACAGCAGCAAAGGCGTCAGAGTAAGTGCACTGGGAGGGAGCACAGCCCTGGAAAATAGGGACCGACGTAGTACCACTCGATTGAGCAAAAGTGCGCTGGTGGGTCTCTATCGCGGTCAGGGTAGTGACAAAGTCAGCGAGGGTGAGGTCAACATGGTGGAGGGCAAGGAAGTGGTCGCGGTCAGTGGCTAGGCGGTCAGGAAGGCGCGTGGCAAGGAAGTAGAGGGTAGCACCGAGGGGGGGAGGCAGTACAAGAAGCTGAGCCTCACTGCTAGCAGTGCGGTTGCTAGTCTCTAGTGCGCGCAAGTGAGTGGCGAGATCAGCGACAGTGAGAAAAGATGTAAGGTCAGGGAAGAGCAGGGGGAGGAGGAGACGACCAGCAGAGGCGGAGGAGGGAGTAGAATAGCGTGCAATAACAGCATCTTAGTACGCCTGCGCAGTCTCTAGGGCCTGGTTGCCGGGGCGCTCAGACAGGGGGAGGGCGCGACTGATAGCAAGCTGCGCAACGGCGTCACGCGACTCCCAGAAGGAGCGAGCGAGCTCAGCAGCTGGGGCAGGGGATCTTACCGTCGACATAAACGGTCAGAGACTGGCCATCCTGGCGCTGTCCCCTCAACGAGCGGCGGAGGTCGGCTAGCCACGCCTCAAAGTTGATCGCCCAACCCTCCGCGTCCAAGCGGAGCACAGCGTCCACCATCGCCACGGCCGCTAGGGGAGGAGGAAGAGAGGGCGGTGGAGAGCAGCGGTGGAGACGGCCGGTGGGAGAGCCAGCACAGAAGGGGGAACCAAGGCCGGCAGGTTGGGGCAGCACAGCAGCACGGCGGCTCGGCCACTCGGCCACTCGACGATGCGGCGGCTCTGCTACTAGGCGGCTCGGTGGCACGACAGCGCGGCTACTCGCCGGGTCAGCTACGCGGCTGCTCGACGGCGCGGCGGTGCGGCGCGGCTCGGCGCGGCGGCGCAGCGGCTCGGCGGCATAGCTAGACGGGGCCGGCGAGGAGGGACAAGGCCGGCGCGGCGGGACGAGGCCGGCGCGGCGTGACGAGGCCGGCGCGGCGTGACGGGGCCGGCACGGCGTGACGGGGCCGGCGCGGCGTGACGGGGCCGGCGCGGCGTGAAGGGGCCGGCGCGGCGTGAAGGGGGCCGGCGCAGCGGGGGTCGACGGGGCCAGCGCGGTCGAGCGGGGCCGGCACGACGTGACGGGGCCGGAGGGGCAGGACGGGGCCGGCACGGCGTGACGGGGCCGGCGCGGCGGGATGGGGCCGGCGCGGCACGACGGGGCCAGCGCGGCGGGACGGGGCCGGCACGGCGGGATGGGGCCGGCGCAGCATGACAGGGCCGGCGCGGTCTAGCGGGGCCGGCGCGGCAGGACGGGGCCAGCGCGGCATGACGGGGCCGGCGCGGCTGGAAGGGGCACAGGCCAGGGCGCGATCTAAGGCTAGGGCTGAGGCTAGTGGCGGAAGCCTAGGCGGGGAGGGGGGGGACCTAACCTAGTGTGATACCATGTTAGAATAATTGAATTATTAGAAAGGAGAGAGAACAAGGGAGATATTGGGTTTGGGTTGTACTATTTAAGAACACACACCTATTCGAGCCTATAACATTTACATGCAAATGTATGTAAAAGTTGACAGAGCCGTCATAAGCGAGGAAACGGTTTGTCAGAAATAAGTGAAGCGTGTAAACCCAAAAATCTTTGTGCAACAACCAGCTCAGCAATCCCTGCAAATTCTGCCCTTTTTATATGGCATAGCATTTCAATAGTTTCTGGGCATTGGGACAATCGTCTATCTGTGCCGGAAAGATTGACGCTGACTGTAGTCGCATTCTTCGTCAATATTCGCACTTGCCCTCACTGTTTGCTGTCGCAAGAGGTGAACGAAGAGGCAATCGAGGTCAGCTTTGTTGATCAACATCCCACCGACATCAACCACCGAGACCAACGATTGACACGAAAACCCTCTCTGACTCAGCAAAATTCGCCTGACTAACGAGAGTGCCGCGCGTGTCGCACCACTCTAAACCGCTTTGAAGCAACTCATGTCAAACTTGCACTGCACAGTGATGCGCGAGTCTGATAAGGGGCACTAGGGAGCCGAAATTGTATCAGGGTAGCCCAAATTGTGGGCCTAACTTGTCAGGCTTCAATTTTTTTGGGCCTGAAAAAAAATGCCGCTTTTAAACCCCGACCCTGAAAACCATGGCCTGTTACAGGGGTGACCCTTATGTTGAATTTAACGAATGACTAGAACCATGGTATACAAGGGAATATAACCTAGTGGGTTGTACTCTCTAAGGCACAACCCTGTATAGTCTATAACAACATACAAGGATATGTTTAACACACCCCCTAGATTGGATAGGGGCAGTGCCTGGTGAGAGACAAGCAGCACAGGGTGGCACTACTAGTCCAGCCTCTTAGGCAAGGGTCTAAGAGACCAGTCAAACGAGTACAAACAAGGGAAGAGCAAGACCAGGGCGGCACTACTAGTCCAACCACTGGGAAGAGGCCACAAGGCCAGTCAGGGTAATATATATAAAGGTCTATACTGAAGGCCCTAGCAAATGAGAGGCTACAAGTTCGAGACCTACCTGTACACAGTGCCGCTGATGGCATTCGTAAAGATATCACCTGTATTGGCACCGGAGGCCAAGTGTACTACGTGGACCTGGCGACGCTGCTGTAGCTCGCGCAGGAGGAAGTACCACTGTCATCGGCACTAGCCCCATGCCTGATGACTTGCACCCGTCCAGATCTCGCATACCCTCTCAGCATCCTGGCTCGCTTTATGGGTACAGGCAGAACCGACCACAGCACTGGTCGGCAGCTTAGAGGGTTTTGCGTTAACTAGCAAGTACATCGGGCATGGGGCTAGTGCTAGGAGGACGCAGACCAGTGGTCCTTACCGGGCACGCAGACGCTTCTTGGGCAGACGACGCTGAGACTCTCAGGTCCTCCCAGGGCTACTGCTTTAGCCTTGGTTCAGGTGCCATCTCGTGGAGGTCCACTCGCTCCTCATCTGTTGCACTGTCTAGCGGTGAGGCTGAGATCTACGCCGGGGCCATGGCGGCATAGGAGCTCCGCTGGCTGACCTTCTTGCTCACTGACTTAGGTGAGCGGCCTAGCTCTGCCCCGGTTCTGTACGCTAACAACAGAGCCACAAAGCAGTGGTGAGCGACAGAGTGCGGTTGGAAGCAGTGGTGTGCGGTGCGGTGCGGTGCAGTGCGGTGGGAAGGGCCGATGAAGCGAGGTGGGAGGCGCAGCGCAGCTGAGGTACGGGGCCGCGAGGAGGCTGGGCGGCGGGGCCACGGGGCGGTTGGTCAACAGGGGCCGCGTGGCGGGCAGATGACCGGGCCGCAGGGCGGTCAGGCGACGGGGCCTCCGGGCGGCTATGAGACACGGCTGCGTGGTGGCTGGAAGACGGGGCCGCGTGGCGGCTAAGAGACGTGGCCGCGGGCGGCGAGGCGACGGGGCCGGCTAGGCGACGGGGCCGGCTGAGTGGCGGGGCCGGCTTGGCGACGGGGCCAGCTAGGCGACGGGGCCGGCGGGGCGACGGGGCCGGCTGGGCGACGGGGCCGACTGGGCGACGGGGCCGGCTGGGCGACGGGGCCGACTGGGCGACGGGGCCGACTAGGTGACGGGGCCGACTAGGCGACGGGGCCGGCTAGGCGACGGGGCTGGCTAGACGACGGGGCCAGCTAGGCGCTAGGTGACGCGGGCCACTAGGGGACGGGCCAGCACGGGCGGGAGAGCGATGGGGCAGCTGGGACCTATGGCGGAAGCGCTGGTGGGCGGAAGGGACCTAACCTACTCATGATACCATGCTGAATTTAACGAATGACTAGAACCATGGCATACAAGGGAATATAACCTAGTGAGTTGTACTCTCAAGCATAACCCTGTGTAGTCTATAATTACATACAAGGATATGTTCGACACCTGAGTCATCAGACCTCCCAAAACCAATCTAAGGGCCTGCTTGCGAAACTCCTGAAATGCTGAGTCGTTTTATCATTTCCAAGAATGACCGCCCTTAATACGTGGTGGTTTGCTTCAATATGGTGTATATATGTGTTCAGTTTGGAAGAATGTGAAATTGATTATTTACGACAACTTCCTATAAAATAAATATACACTCTTATTCATTCTCTATGAGCCTCAGGAAAATAGCTCAATTGTCTTATAAATAATGAGACAGGGGAGTTTCCAAAATAGATCCATGTATCTAACCCATTTGCCAAATATTAGTAGAACGTGGCATATATTGACCGGTATATCTATGAAGTTCGTATCGGAATAGCGAAGCACATTAGTTTGTGGGGTTCAGGAGTTCGGTTTTCGGGGCTGTGCGTTTTCCCAGCTCCTTGTGAGGCCCTGCAGAAACCATTGCACTGTTGATGATCAGCTCTAAGGTCCCTTGTCTGCAAGCTCCTGCCCCCGCCTTGCTGTATCACTCCCTCACCTTTCTCCTCTCGCCCTTCTGCCCCCACCTCGTCCTCTGCTCGCTGCTGCTGCGTCTCCTTGGGATAACTCGCCCTCCGTCAGCGTTAGTGCTCCTTTTTGGCACTTCACTGATCTCCTGTGGTCCAATTGTGGTGAGCCCTCTGTCGTTACTCGGGTCGTAGCTTTTTTTCCCTGATGTACTTCGCTGCTTGCGAAGCGTATGTTCTACATCGCTAGGCCGGGGCTTTTTCGTCACTTTTTGAGAGGTTTAATTGGAGACTTTCCTCCTGAATTGCACAGTTACCCGCTTTACTTCCCAATCGTCCATATTCCCGCCATTCTCAGGAGAGCGCATCTTTTTACCTGAGCGCATCTTTAGCGATTTAGACTGCGTACAGGAAACCCTAATTTGTGAACTCTTGACGAGGCGCTGTGTTCTCCAGTTCGACCACGGAGCTTCCTGTCTGGCTATCGCTGGTAGCGCTTTATACTGGCGACCCCGTGAGCCTCACCACTGCTGTGTGTGCCCCTATGTTTGCGTCTGTATTTGCATGCGTGTGTGCGCCGTGTGTGTGCGTGCAGCTGCTCCGTATCACCATCTCGTACGACACTCGTCATGGCACCCGCGAAGAAGACCGTAAGTCGACGCTATGAATGGCCCGCAACCCAGCAAATTTGATCTTTGTTGGACGCGCGCCACATCGTTCGTTCGCATACTCTGCCTACTCTCCTATTCGCGTGCTTCGCAGAGTGGTCGTGCGTACCCCACATACTCGTGATGTGACTCTCTCATTTGCTTTTTCGTGTTGGCTCTCATCTCATGCTTCGCCCGTGCCATCCGCCACCCCATGTCCGTGTGCGTCCCGCAGAAGAAGGCGCAGGAGAACATCAACAGCCGCCTCACGCTCGTCATGAAGAGCGGCAAGTACACGCTCGGCTACAAGACCGTGCTCAAGAGCCTGCGCTCCGGCAAGTGTGAGTGCGCCCCACCCACCCTTCCCCCCCTCCCTTCCCCCCCCCTCCGCCCCCCACTCGTCCGTTTGGGGAAGTTCTATGCTTTTCTGACAGCATGCATCGTTCAGCGCGCTCGGCTCGTAGTCGAGCGGTCGCGTGGATTAACGGCAGGGGAGAGGGGAGCCCGCAGGCGGGGTGGAGCAGGTGGAGGAACGCTGTGCAGCAGCACGTAGCCCGGGTGCCGTGGCGCTTGCACGCCGTAGTCGCTTTAGTTGCGATGGGCCTCACTTCACTCGCTAATTGTGACGGGTAGTGGTTTCGGTATAAGCCGTACACGTCCATCGTAAGGTTGATCAGGCAGCGCAGGCTGTAGCGGGCGGCGGCGGCGGTGATGCCTGAAGCAGACGGCGGTACGCAGGAAGCGGATGGGTCTGGGTGGTGGCGAATCACAGGCATGGTGGGAAGATGTGATCAGCAGCTTCAGGCGCGGTAGGGCGGGGTAGATGCCAGCGCACGTGACAGTGGCAGTGGGTGCAAGCGGTCGGAAGTAGCTGAGTGTGGATGCGGCGGGTTGCGCGCGACGAATGGCGTTGAACGTGCGGAGGAGCCGCGCGCCCGGGGTGGGCCCAAGGAATGACGTTTCGTTAGCGCGCGCGGGCCACGTGTACCGCCGTCTAAGTTGCGCCCGGCGCCCGGCGAGGGAAACTAGCACTCAGAGGCCATTGGTTGGGTCGGGGTGCTTCTGCTCCGAATGGGGGGGGTGGTGGATCAGGGTTGGGGCATCGTAGAACCGAGTTCGAGCCAACTTAAACGCTTCTGATGTAATGAGGGAGGTGGGTTGGGCATCTTGATCCGCGTTACCTCTGTCGGCACGTTCATGTGGCCCGCACATCCGTCTAGAGGCTTAATTTCCGCGCGTGGCGTTGCTGCTGCGCCTGCGCGATGAAGCTGAATTGCGGCTTCTCCCAAACCTCTCGACTCTTGCGTCTTAGACGCGACGCACCGCTCGAGGGTCGCCGCTGTCCATTTGCCACCTTATCTCTCGTCGCCCAATCGCTCCGCCCGTCATGCGCGCTCTTGTGCCCGTTGCGTGTTGGCGTGGTGGGTGGTGCGGTGCGCAGCGAAGCTGGTGATCATCGGCAACAACTGCCCGCCGCTGCGCAAGTCGGAGATCGAGTACTACGCCATGCTCTCCAAGACCGGCGTGCACCACTACTCGGGCAGTAAGTGCCGCCCCACTACTTGGGCAGTAAGCGATTTAGAAGCATTTGCCACATACTAGAGAGCTATAGGGCCCACCACTCAGCTCACTCACTACAAAGCCTACAGCGGTCAGCGGCGGACTCCTCGTTGTCACGGTTTGCCCCTTACTGTTCGCCACCAGCCCTCTCCTCACTTCCGCCCAATGCTGACTTGGGTCCGCCCGTCCGTCCCACATCTCCCCCGTCTCTCCAGACAACGTGGATCTGGGCACGGCGTGCGGCAAGTTCTTCCGGGTGTCGGCTCTCAGCATCACAGACCCTGGTATGGCACCTGGGGAAGCTGCGTTGCGCCTGGGTTCAGCACTGGTCCTCATGCTCGTGCAGGGAGCCCATCCTGCTCACATGGCAATCCCATTGAACAGCCAGTTGGTTCCTGCTGTTGTGTACATCCTGCCATCCTGCCTCTGGCCGTTTCCGGCGCTGACATGGTGTGCTTGGCTGTGTGTGCGGCAGGTGATTCCGACATCATCCGATCCATGCCCGAGTCCTCGTAAACTCACTGCTAAGTGACAACAGCTGGGATCAGCGATTCAGCAGCATGCAGGTGGTGCTGCTTGGTAGGGTGGCTGAAGGCACAGCTAGTGGGGCCGACATGTACCGGTACTTCAATTCCTGAAATATAGCCAATCCAAGCATGTCTAGCCCTCAAAGTTCTGCACCGGTTGCTGAGCCTGGATTGTAATATAACCAACGGCGCTGTGAGAACTCAACCATCCTGCAAGTTCTCATGTCAAATGCTAAGGCACTAATGAGCCTATCGAAGTGAGAAAATGAATGACTAGAATGAGATACCGTACAAGGTGCTTGTGTGCTAAGGGGTTGTAGTACGCACCTATCTAGCCTAAAAGACATATACGGTATATGTTGTGACACACCCCCTAGGCTAGATGAGGGGCGGTGTTAGAATACGAGTATGACTCAGGCCTGTCGTTATCAGGGTATTTTACCCTGATTCCCTGATTTCACAGCGGACGGTATTTTTTTGGCCAACCCTTAATTTTCAGGGTTGGGATTTTTGAACCCTAACCTCTTCAGGGTTGTATTATCAAACAGTGAAATTGATAAATTGAGAGGAAGAGAGAACACAAACATATACCTAACAGTTGTACTCTCTAGAAGATGACCCTATACAGTCTATACAAGCATGATAACTAAACATGTTTGACACACCCCCTGGACTGCATAGGGGAATGTTCTAGACAAGCAGCTCAGGGTGGCACTACTAGTCCAGCCTCTGAGACAAGGGTCTAAAAGACCAGTCAGAACGAGTACAGGCAAGGCAAGAACTAGTACAGGGCGGCACTACTAGTCCAACCACTGTAAGAGGACACAAGTCCAGTCTGAGTGTACACACAGATATAAAGGACAGTACAAAGTCAAGGCCCGAGTAAGTGAGAGACTACAGGAACCAGACCAAGCTGTACACAGTGCCGCTGATGATCTTTAGGCGCAAGCGCCTTCGTAAAGATATCAGCTGTGTTGGCACCGGAGGCTAAGTGTACTACGCGAGCCTGGCGACGCTGCTGTAGCTCACGCAGGAGGAAGTACCGCAGCTGGATGTGCTTCGCTCTGCCCTCGAGTCGAGGCTCCTGACACAGGAGGATCATGGCCCTGTTGTCAGCGTACAGGACCGGGGCAGAGCTAGGCCGCTCACCTAAGTCAGTGAGCAAGAAGGTCAGCCAGCGGAGCTCCTGTGCCGCCATGGCACCGGCGTAGATCTCGGCCTCACAGCTGGACTGGGCAACAGACGAAGAGCGGGTAGCTCTCCACGAGACAGCACCTGAGCCAAGGCTAAAGCAGTAGCCCTGGGAAGACCTGAGCGTCTCCGCGTCGTCTGCCCAAGAAGCGTCTGTGTGTCCAGTAAGGACCACTGGCCTGCGTCCGCCTAGCACTAACCCCATGCCCGATGTACTTGCAAGATAACGCAAAACCCTCTTAGCGGCAGACCAGTGCTGAGGTCGGTGTCTGCCTGTGGCCACGAACCGAGCCAGGATGCTGAGAGGGTATGCGAGATCTGGGCGAGTGCAAGTCATAAGGTACATGAGGCAACCCACTAGCTCAGCGTAAGGACCACTGGGATCTACCGACTCCTCAGGAACTGGAGCGGAGAGTCTGTGGTCCAGAGGAAGAGGGGTGGGCTGTGCGGAGGAGAACTGAAGGCCGAACCTCTGAAGGACCTGGCGCACCAAGTGTGACTGAGTCAGGGTGATGGTGCGCGCGGCTCTGTCCCTGGAGATCTGCAAGCCAAGGTAACGGCGCAGCTCTCCAAGGTCAGTGCAGGTGTGTCTCTTCAGCAGCTCTGCCTTCACGGAGGCCAGTGCGTCCCTGTCAGCAGTGGCAAAGACCAGGTCGTCTACGTAGACAAGGATGTAGAACGGAGTCGAGCCAGCACGAACGAAGAGCGAGGGGTCTGCAGAGGACGGAAAGAACTGCAGGTCAGCAAGGGTAGCACGCAAAGTGTCGTGCCACTCACGAGGCGCCTGGCGCAGGCCGTAGACTGGCCGCCGCAGAAGCCACTGGGTCCCAGGGGGGAAGGTGCCAGTAAAGCCCTGAGGGCGACGCAGGTAGACCTGCTCGTGAAGGCTGCCCTGAAGAAAGGCAGTGGAGAAGTCGAGGGAGTGAAGCTCGTAGTCACGCTGAGCCGCTACGTGTAGCAGAACCCGAAGAGTAGTCATCTTCGGGGTAGGAGCGAAAGTCTGAAAGAAGTCCACCCCCTCGCGCTGACTGAAGCCTCTAGCCACGTAGCGCGCCTTGAACACAGGCGGCTCTCCAGGAGGGCGCTTCACCTTGAAGAGCCAACGGCCATCGACCACGTTCACCCCAGGTGGGGGAACTGCGTCGACGAAGGTGCCGGTGGATCTCCAAGATGCCATCTCCTGCTCCATGGCAGCTATCCACTGAGAGGCCCAGGGTCCCGAAACCGCCTCAGCGTAAGTACGAGGGGTCGGGATGTCGAAAGCGTCTGGGTCACCCTCAGGGACTAGCAGCATGGAACAGAGATGGGGAGCAGCCTCGGACAGGAAAGCAAGCTCAAACTGGCGGTCCTCTAGGACGTCACTGCCGAGGGCAGGAGCACCCCCGACAGACGGAGGACAGGCAGGGTGAGAGACCAGAGCGGTGGCGTAGTCAAGGCGGCGGGTAGAGGCGAAGTCAGCGACCGCAGCGACGAGGGCGTCAAGACTCGACAGTGGAATAGACGGGTCGGTAACAAGAGAGGCAAGGACCCGAGGAACAAGAGGACGAGCGGCACGAAAGTAGTCGGACAGAGGAGGAGACGCAACGACAAGAGAAGACGGAGGAGGAGACGGGAGGAGGGGAGGACGAGACGCGTGGGAACGGAGCAACATAGGGTGAGAGCGCGGGACAGGGGAGACAGGACGAGCACGAGCGGGGCGGCGAGACCAGACGTGTGAGGGCGGCGTCAGGTCAGGAGACAGAGGAGGGGACATAGGAGGGGAACGAGGGGGAAGACGAGCCGGGGACGAGTCTGGCAGAGGGAACACGGGGCCGTAGACGGGAAGAGGGGGAGACGGCAGGAGAGGAACAGGCGCAGGGTCAGGAGACGGGAGGCCGAGCAGACGGAGGGCGGTCACAGGCGGGGACTGCTGCTGCGGCGACACAACACCAACACCAGGGCCACAAGCTGCGCGACGGCTACCTCCCGAACCCTCCACACCTGCACCCCCAGAAGGGACACCCCCAGAGCCCGAAACCCCGCCAGCACCGGTACCACCCCCAGGCCCGCCGGGACAAGCCACGACAGGAGCCCCGGGACTAGTACCCACCTCAACGCCAGCACCCCCAGAGTCCACAAACGGCGGCAGGGACGACAGCGGTGGCGGCGGCGGCAGCGACGGCTGCAACGGCGGCGGCGGTGGAGACGACGGCTGCAGCAGCTGCGGCAACGGCGGCTGCGGAGGCGGGGGAGGAGGAGACACCGGGGGAGGGACAGACGGCGAGGACTGCGCCGGAGGACTACCAGAGTCAGAGGACTCGTCGACCGGGACGACCGACGGGAGGGGGGTGACGTGAGACACACCAGAGGGGGCCGGACGGGGGGGCGGGGGAGGGGGGGGAGGGGCAGGGACCACCGGGGAAGGAGGGACCAGGAACAGGGGGGGAGTAACCGGGGGACCACGGTGAGGGAAGCGGCGGTAGAAGGAGACGGACTCGTCAAAGGTGACGTCGCGAGAGTGAAAAAAACGGTGGGACGGTGGGTGGTAGAAGTGCCAGTCAGACGCGTCAAGGGGGAAACCGAGGAAGACGCAGGGGAGGGTGCGGGCAGTGAGCTTGTCCGTGCCAGAGGCACGAACGTGGGCAAGGCAGCCCCAGACGTGGAACGCAGACGCGTCACCAGGGGACCCGGTCCACAGAAGGGTCGGCGAAACCTGCGGCCGCTGGGGGTGCGGCCACAGGTTAAGCTGGTGAGCGGCGTAGCGCACGGCGAACGGCCACAGAAAATGGGGTGCACCGGCGTGGATCATGGAGGTGCGAGCCACCTCCATGACCAAACCGATGCGTCGCTCAGCGACCCCATTCTGCTGCGGGGAGTCCGGCAGGGTAAACGTCTGGGTGATGCCCTCCGCACGACAGAAGCGACCAAGGACACCTGAGGCAAACTCGCCACCCCGGTCGGAGTGGAGGCGCAAGGCAGGGAGACCGCGGTGGACACGGGCAGAGACAAGCCAGGGGATGAGAACGTCAGGCACGTCGGCCTTCCGCTCCAGGGGGAAGACGGTGGTGTAGCGCGTGAAGTCGTCGACAAGCACTAGGAAGAAGCGCTCGCGACGCGGCCCATGGACCGGGGCTGGGCCCCAGACGTCCATGTGTAGAGTCTGCAGTGGTGCGGTGGTAGGGGGAAAAGAGGAGGAGTGAGGGGCACGGCGGAGCCGGCCCTCTACACAAGGCGTGCACGGTGGGGCGGGGGAGGAGGGAAACTCGGGGAACGAACCGGGGAGACCAAGGACGAGACCGTGCTGGGACATGTGACGCAGACGTGGGAGTGCAGGGTGACCAAGGCGGTGGTGCCAAAGGAGAGTCGGGTGAGTGAGGGACCGACAGGAGCACGCGGCAGCAACCTGGGTGGACGCAGCTACCGGGGGGGAAGACCCAGCCGGGGACGTCGCGGTGTCAAGTGTGAACAGGCCGGACACCGGGTCCCGGGGGAAAGTGGTAAGGGGGGCACCAGTGGCGGCCTCGGTACAGACAGCATACCGCTCGTGACCAGGGAACGTAGTGGTGACGCCAAGGTCCTGGAGGCAGCCGACACCAACTAGGTTCCTGGAGAACGAGGGGATATGCAGACCGGTGAGCGAACCTGAAGGAACCGCCGGACAGGGAAGGGAGGTGGAACTGCGGGCAACGACGGGACCACCGGAGGGGTCAGCAAGAGTAACGGCAGCGGGAACAGGCAGCGGCGTCAGCGTCGTGGAGTCGCGGAAGAAACACCGGGAGGCGCCAGAGTCCAAGGTGAAGGAAAGCGCAGCAGTCGCGTGAGGCGGCAGTGAAGCGGTGGAAGCACCAAGGCTAAGCAAAGCAGGAGATCCTACGCCTGACGCAGCAGGGGAGTCTACGCTAGGCACCGCTACACTAGGCAACACGGGGTAATAAGAGGGAAGCACACTAGAGTCATCAGCATACAGCACATGCAAGGCTGCTACAATGGCATCCATGTCCAAGTCAAAAATCCTAATGCTACGCCTAAGCAAGCTGTGCCAGTCCGGGAGGTCGGGCGCCGGGCCAAAGCGCTGGCGGAACAGGTCGTCCAGACGACGAAAACAGCGAGGAGTAGAATGACCGATCTTACCGCAAACGAAGCCGCGGCGAGGACCGGTCTGGATCTGGTACTGACAGGGCCCGCCTCCAGAACCACCACCCGGTGCACCACCACGCGCACGACCACCACCAGCTCCAGGCCACCCAGGCGGGAGAGCACTCGCCGGCCTCGTCTGCGGCGGCTGCTGCGGCTGCTGCGG